GAAGGAAATGACTGTAATGTCTGTGACTTGAGTGACATGACTTTTTTGTTTGTTGGAGAAAATTGTACGATCATGTGAGTAGACTCATCTTATGATCATGATCTCAAATCTTAGATGAGCATTCAGCATTCAGTTTTCCTGTTTTTCTACATTGTTTTTCATTCTCTGATGTGGTTATTTCATACTTTCTTCTTCAGATTTTTACTGCTCTTCACTGTAAGACTCAGATGATGATATTGCCTTACACTTAATTATAAAAACAAGCCATTCTTCTCATTTTGGAGGACATTAAATCATCTTCCTAAATTCAAGTCTCCTAGTCCACCTGCATTTATATCTACACAATTTGGCTTTTTTTTTTCCATTAAAATGGAAGAGTTCTTAAGTCCATTACCTTTTGTTCATGCTTTAAGATCTTACCATTTTGTACTTTCACATTGTAGTGATCCCTGTTAACTTCCACAGCCCAGTTTCCCCTATTCTAATAGATTCTATTGGCTGGTATGTGAAATGGTAATAAAAATCATCCTCTGGAAGCAGCTTTTAGCCATTGTTCCTTCCCAGCTATCATCTCGTATCTCAGTTCCTCTTTGTGGGTGAAGCCACTGGTGACTGTACTTGTGGTCTTATCTTTCTCTTGTTCTTTCTAAGTCAACTCTTAGTAGGGACTTTGTGTGTAATATTCTCATGGGTTGTTTTCTTTGTCAACTGACTGGGCTGAGGGATACCCAGTTAGCTGGTAAAGCATCATTTCTGACTGCCTGTGTTTTTGGAAGAGACTAGCATTTTAATCTGAAGATTGAGTAAATATCACCCTCTGCAGTGTGAGTAGGCATCATGCAATTCTTTGATGCCCAAATAGAACAAAAAGTTAGGGGAAGGAAGAGGGTTTTTTTTTTTTTTTTTTTTAATGAATCATTCTTTCTGCTTGAGCTGGGGCATCTTTCTTCTTCCTGTTCTGGGACCCTGGAACTCCTAGATCTCAAGCCTGTGGAGTCTGACCTGATCAAATACCATCAGCTTCCCTGCTTCTCAAGTTTTTAGGTTTGACCTGCAGCTACATCACTAGTTTTCCTGGCCTGTAGCTTACAGATGGCAGATAGTGGGACTTTTCAATTTCTGTAATTGTGTAAGCCAATATCTTATAACAAATCTCTATATATGTTTATCACTACAGTATTGATTCTGTTTCTCTGGAAAACGCTGATCGAGACAGTCACTGTTTCCAAGGTCATATGTTGTTTGTATTTCATCAAAGCTCGATTAAGTTCTGTATCCTCGGAGTACTCATCTTTTAATATTTGGTGCTATTAACCTGTATTCAAAAGATTTTGTCCTATCCAGTTCTGCCCACTTCTTTTCCTTGTACTCTGGATGCTCTTTTCCAGTTTCTGTACTGATTCTTCCTCAGTTAGCACCTCTGGAAAGGGGTGCATTGTGGGGCTCTGTGCTCTACTGCTGCCTCTCTTCTCTTACTTCCGATTTCATCTTGCCTCATGCTTTTTTTTTTTGTTTTACACACTGATTTTATTTAGGAAAGCAACAGAATTATAGGCATTTGAGAGAATGCAGCAAAGTATAAAAACAAACACTAAAGACCCCCCAGGATAGAGCCCAGGCTCAGCCACCCCATATTTTACTGAGCCAAAGTTAACTTTGGCATAGG